TATATATATATATATATATATATATATATATATATATATATATATATTTATATATATATATATATATAAAATTTACGTTGCACTTCTTTTGCATCAGGTTATGTTTAACACATTGCATTTTGCAACGCACATAACACACAAAGCATTACTGGTAATGGACTGCAGACCTACAGTTTTTACATTTTTATGTCTGTCTAAAGCAAAAGACATCAGTGTAAAGATTTCCAAAATAAAGCTTGCATAAACCACTATGACACAGTTGAGATTAGTTGTTTAAAGATGGCTGTAAAGTGACTTTTTCTGACCCTGTTGAGCTGTTCGGTTAGTAGCCTGCGTCGCACTGTACGATACAAGATTTGATAAATGTCGGACTGGTCACAATAATCCAACAGTAAAAGGAAAGATTTTCTTAATCTCTATCAAATGGTGCAGTTTGAAAGCGTTTACTCCAGCAACTTTTCAGACATGTTGATATACAATTCTGAAATGCAGGTACGCAATAGGGCTGAACGATTTTGGAAAATATTCTAATTGTGATTTTTTTTACAGCAATATTGCGATTTAATATGCAATTATTTTTCAATGTCTTCTTCTCGTGTATTTTTCAACAAACACAAGCAATAAATCTGTTTCAGTTGCAAAAAAACTCCACTGTTTTCAGCTCCGCTGCAACTTTGTTTCTACATTTTTTGTATAGCTTCAGGATAGCAACTTGGCTAAAATGTGTGCACGAGGGCATTCTGTACCACCTATCCACTGTGTTTACTAAAGCCAGAAACCCAGGCTTGGTCACTATATTAATGGACATCATGTATTTCACTATGAACTCTGTTATTGCTCGAGTTATTTCCACATGCCGTTTCAAATTATGTTCACAGAGTAATACCTTCGAACAGTTCGGTCAGTGATCCCTGTTGGCATTCTAGCCATGGAAACTATCGTAAATGGCTTTGTGATGCTTTTTTAAGTGTTGGTAAAGATTTGTGGTGTTACTTTAAGAGGTAGCAGCAGCAGCCAGGCAGGTTCTGCACAATACACGTCGTTGTGCAACGTCTTCTTTTTTATGGCCAAAATAATTCCAAACAACGGTCGTGCTGCCCCTCATTTGTACCAAACGTTCAGATGTATCAGCTTCTGTCAAGCCTGACGCCATTGTGCAACCGGTTAAAGTGCAGTGTTGACTTCTCCCACTCCCTGCTCTGCTCTGCTCCGCTCACTCGCAAGTGACGTAACCAGATCATGTGACCAGTCAAAACGCAGCCTTTGCAATTAGAAAATCTAATTTTATCATATCGCGATATTATCGCAAATGCAACTAATTGTTAAGCCCTAGTACGCAATCAATGTAAACACTTTTATCTGCATATTTCATTCATTAATCCAAGTGTAAATGTGTCCCAACGCTTCAGAATTAGACTTATTGATCTTAAGCAGCTCTTCCATAGAGATCATCATTGCTGATCTGTTTTCAGTCATGGTCGGCCGTTTCTGTAGGTAAACAAACACACTTAGTGGCTGGAAAAGAGACAGCTGTGGACATGCTCAGGGCTGGTAAAAAGGCGGCGGTCGCAGCAGCAGTCACACTGCACGGCTTTCTCAAAAGGATTTCTGATTATTGTTATAGCTCGTCTTGGGTTGTGAAAGTGTTTAATCGTCTGTGGGTGATTCTGCCTCACTGAGCGACCACAGAACACGGATTCAAAAACAGATTTACTGACGATTTCTTTCTCTGACAAGAGATTTTCTCCAAAGCAGCTGAAATAATCACAGTGTGAACCTTTAGACTGAGAGGTTACCCCAAACCAACATGCAACTATCATGAAAGACTACTTTTATTTTTCTTTATAAAACATTATTTAATCAGTTGAAGATGCTCTATCGCCATGAGGATTGTTTTTCTATTTATAAGGCACAAATATCACCTAAAAGTTTGTGAGAAAATGACCTTTACAACCACCAGGTCCTGATCTTGTTCATTTTTTTGTTAAAAAACCCCCCACAAAACATGGTCATACCAAGTTGGGTTTTCCTTCCATTGTCTGCATTCAAAAGCAGAACCTCCAAACAATAATTAAGACTATGAATGCTTTTCCCCTAATGTGGAACCATGCCTTAAAAAAAGCTAATTGATAAGATCAAAGGTTCCAGCGTTAAAGGAGTTGGCGCAAAAAATAAAATAGAAAACATGAAAAAAATAAAATTAACAATAGGCAACAACAAAATCCATGGTGCTGTTTAGATCAGGAGAGGAAAACTGCAGTCTGCAATGATTTCTGAGGGTGAGTGTATGTGTGTGTCACTGATTTCCCATCACAGACAGGAGTCAGTTTGTACCCCTGTTTGCTTGAGGCCAAACATTGAGGTAGAGGTATCCCATCTACTCCCCTTTCTCCTGCGCAGGCACCTGAGATGACGAGGGACCCTCCTCGACCTCCTCCGAAGGGCCCTGAAACATTAAGAAGGACCAAAATGACTATGAGTTACAGTCTCCATTCTGTGTAGTGACTCATCTGGCTCAAAGGTACAAATCAAAATTAAAAGAGGTTGCAAATACAATAATGAGTGTTGAAATTTCAGTGAGGTTGCGTGCGAGCGAGCAGGTTCCAGCCGTCAGACCTAGAAATGTGAGGAAGACGACGGTTACATCAGGAAACCAAGAAGACAGGGGACGAGAGCAGTTAGATCAGGTTTCCCCTCGCTGCACTGACTCATTCTTCCCCTTCATGTGCCTGTCTCTGAGAAAGGAGTCTGTCTCAACGGTTTCAGTTTGTTTTCAGCATCTTAACCTCTTTGACAATCTAAGCCGAGAGGATGCGATAAGACAGGGGGAGGCATCAAGTGTAGTGGGCTGTTGAGCAACTCTCCTATAGGGCTTGAGAGAGAACGAGACGGCTGAAAGGATCCACAGTTTCTGAGAAACGGTGCGCTTATGTTGTGCAAAAGAGTAAGAGACCAAAGGATCTTTGCCGGGGCATTCAGCACTGCTATCTCTGAATTTCCAAGAATTCGCCATGAAGTCGGTTCACAAAATACACACACAGCTTGTGCAGGCGCGACTTTACATCAGATGCGCTCCAGCTAAAAAAATACCCCAAAGTATCCTAGCACTTTTATATTTGTCAGATAAACTGAAATGATTATTTTGTGCCTTTAAATTTGTACAACTTTAGTGAACAGATCTAACATGCAGGTACACATGTGGAAACACTGGTATACGAAAAGTTCAGATTTGAGTCAATCCTGTTTGTGTACAGCACCCTGATGGACTGAGCCAAAAAAAAAAAAAAAAAAGCCTTGTAGTGGACCAACGCTTTAGATTTTCAGGTTGGGAGATGCCTACAAAACTAGTTCAGACTGCTTTATATATGAAGATACAACAGAAACAAAAAGTGAAACTGCTCAAAGTTTGCTACGTTTTCATACTAACAGGTTTTTCTACTGTTCTGTCCAGACTGGTTTAATTACGCAACACAACACCCAAAAAGAAAATTCCCTTTTTAATACTTTGCCCCCTAAAATCATCCTAGACTGCATTACCTTAATCTATGTGCTCTTAAAAAGAGGCAACTTAGTGGATAAACAGCGCGGTGCAGAAATGACAAAGATGTTGAATGATGTGATGCTGAGACGCATCACGTTCGTTAACATTTGAACAGTTTCAGTTTCCATGCAACAAATTGAAAGTTCTGAAAAGTAACCCCCCCACGGGTCAATCAGTGGTGGACAGTTACTAATTACCTTTAATAAAGTCCTGCCTTTGTAGTACAATTTGTGCTTTCAATGAAAATGTCCATTTATTGTACTTTACACTTTCCATTTATTAGATTTAGAGGTAAATATTGGACTTAAAGCTAAATCTCTTTAACAGCTGTGTGCAGGAAATGAGTTAATATAATTCAACACAATCAATTTAAAAAACTAAACGCAACAAATTTCTAAAATCAAAATCAATGGGTTTGAAATTTTTAAGCTTGTGACATTTTTGCAAAAAAAAAAAAAAACGTCTGGACGGGATCACATGCCAGATGTCACTAAGAAGGACCTATTTTTTTTATTATTGCAAGTTATTATCGCATTTGATGAAAAATATGAAAGTGTGAAATATGCAGATTTAGGTTGATGAAAATTCACTTATACACTTAATTATTTCACAACTTTGCATGTTTATATTATAAACTAATGATATGTTGTAGGGATGCACGATATTATTGGCATAGTATTGGCCGATATTAGCGTTAAAGTTCAATATTGGACACCCCTAATATGTTGAATTAAAGTTTATTACCTTGCATGTCAAAGGTCATCTCATGCGGTCTGTTTACCTTTTCAATATGTGTTGGGGATGATTATCAGCTACTAGCACATCAGATTTGATATCAATCTGTGTAAAACTGGACAAGCAATACCCATTTTTATGTTAGCTAAATTCACTTAGCTGTGGCCGCCATCTTGAACGGGGCTGACTCCAAACAGTGAATCCGTTGTGGATGTACGTCCAGTGATTACTTTCTAAGAGTTGCATTTAAAACATTGTCCTCTGGTTTAGGAGATGTGCACATTTTTTTTATTTAACAGTTCTCAAAATCAGATTGTACTTGACTGATTTTGGAAGTACAACACTGTTGGTTTTGGTTTCACCTCACCCAACGACAGTTGAACTCATCATTAAATAGAGCCAAAGCTGGAAATCTGCACTCAAGCTGACTTGTAACTGGCACTACAGTCAAAATGCAAAACGTGTGACACAGAATGAGATTTTCTGTCCAACTGAAGCAGAAGTTGCACTCTTACAAACTCCACGTTGCTGATACTTGATCTGCATTTCACTCATTTAGATCTAAAGCAGAAACCTACAGTAGGGCGAAAAGTAAATTAGTGGTGGTTTTACCTCTTCTCATCAAAATGCCTAAGGTTAATCTTAAACGCAGGCTTTGTTTGTGTCTGTTTTCACCTCCCAAGCAGTTGTGATCAGTGTGAAAGTGCTGTGTCAAGTCAAAACTGAAGCACCTCACCTGCTGCTCTTCAGTCACTTCGGGGACAACTTTTCGAGGCTGTGAAAAGACAGGCAGCAGGATCAGTTCAGTACAGAGACAAATGGGCCTGCAGGAACCGCAGCAGATCCAGCAGACAGAACCGTTTTAAAAGGATAAACGTTTGTCATAAATCCAGAAGTGTCAATGAGCGCTGTACCCATTTCCTCGGTCGCCCTCGCGGTCGTCTTTCCCCCACAGGCTCTGCTTTCTAAGAAGAAACACAAAAGTTTTAAACAATCGCACATTTCATCTTACAGACTTATGGTTCTGAGACGTGTTTAAGTTTCTGTTGGCTGATGGGAAACATCCCTCTCAGGAGCTACGGAGGTTTAAAGGCCTACCTGAACACAAATGAGGAACTTAGTCTCACAATAAAAAGATTTTAAAACACCCAGAACCACTTCAGTGTCTACATTAATGGATTATTTTTTTTTATAGCTTTATCTGCCGAGAAAAGCGTCATAATCCAGATTTTGGAAACCCAAAGAATAGATCTGTATTGCCAGTTTGGCAGCCTCATTTGTGAAATACTTCCCTCTGCCATGTTGCAACAAGTTTAGCAAGTGTAGCTGCTTGACAATAATTGTTTCCTCAGAGCGAGTGATGTACAAAAGCATATCTATTTTTTTTCCTTCATTTTCATTGAATATTTCTTTTAGACATTTTAGGATAACAAAATAATGGCCAAGAATATTTTTTCCACACATCTTTAAAAGGATTACTTGTTTTCCAGAAGTAAAGAGCTGCAGAATAACCCATAAAACAAACGAGAGTTGAATGGAAAGTTGCCAACAGAAGAAAAGCAAATTTATCTTCTGATCCAAACAGCTTCAGAAAAGTTAAGAATTCATCTTTTAATAAGATTATTCAGAACTGTAAAACACGTCCATTGCTTTTATTAATCATCAGGAAATGTTGCAACAGTAAACATGTATGAAACTGTCATAAAATGTGCACAGCAGAGCACATTTCTTTTATTTTAAATAGAGAACTTGCTCTAATTGGTTCCTGTAATTAGATGATTAACTTAAGTATAACTCACAGAGTCATAAAGTAGAAGTACTCCCCAACAATAAGTCTAGTTTTCAAACTGTCACGCAGATTAAAAGTCATAAGACGTCCGTTTTCACACCAGTATATTTATGAATATGTAGCAGCATTAGCAGCACTGGGTGAGGTGGAGTCTGGTTTGAGCTTTATAAAACTATGATTCTGCAACAAATTTTTAGATGTTATCCTTGAGAGCTGAACCACAATCTAAAGTGTAAATGCACATTAGCATTAGACTAATCTTTCCAGTTGACATTTATCTGAACAGCCTAAATGTTGTGGCACTGCTACTAATGTGGATAAAGAAAAGAACTCGTCTCAACATCTTGTGGAGCTATGCAAGACGTGGTGGTCAACTGATAAACAGTTCTTCCCTGGCCTTTGGGCGACTGCTTTTAGTGGAGTGTGTGATGGTCAATAACTTATTTTGGTGTCTGCTAGTGTTGCACTCTTGCCATGAAAAAACAACAACATCGCTGCCCACAGAAAGGCCTTTTACCACGCATTTGTCTGAAAACGGCAGATAATCAGCCTTAGTATTCATCCAACCAATAATTAAGTAATGGAGCTACTTTGAGTCGTGCTGTAAAGAAAATTTATGAATTCAGGTTGTTCTTTGGAATGATGGAAACAACACTTATCAGTGAACCAACAACTATAGAGAAATGCTTGAGCATTATAAACAAATAGTACTTGTACAAATCTGACAGCATCACTTTGTTTATATACATAAATGGACCGCACATTTCTCTTATCAAAATACTCAAAGCTCTTTATACTACAATCTGTGCCCTCACTTACCCATTCATACAGCACTCTACTGTATCTCTACAAAGATTAATCAGAGCTTTATCACATTCATACACCGATGGGACACACATCGGAGGCAGTGAGGGGTTCAGTGTCTTGCCCAGAGACACTTTGACATGTGACTGCTGGTGGAATCGAATCCCCAACTCTTGCATTGGAGGATGACTGCTCTAACCACTCAGCCACAGCCGCCTAACATACATAATATACATAAGTATGAACGTGTTGTGATGAGGTTTAACCTTCAGTGCGGTTCTGGGGCCTTTGTCCTTGCTGCCTTTTGGTCGTCCTCTCGGTCGCTTTGGAGTTGGTGGTCCAACCGGTTCCTTCAGAGAGAGAGAGGCTCTGGAGTCAAAACTCACAAATCAAAACCGCTTTATGTACTATAAACTACCAAAGGACACATTTTTAAGCATTTCCGTCTCAACTAAACACATAAAGCTGGATTTAGAGCTACCTGCAGACACCTTCTGAGATTGTACCTGTTGCTGTTTCCGTGGTCGACCCCTGCCTCTGCGCTGAGGCTCCTCGTGCGACTGAGCAGCGCTCGACTCAGGAGATGGCTCTTTGGTCCCACTGTTACTCATGCCTGCGTCTGTCCACCTGCTTCAAAGAGTGTGGGCATCAAAGCCTGGAGCAGCGGCCTCAAGGGCTTAAAGAAGAGGAGAGCTGAGTATCAAGAGCTGCTGCGATCACAGCAAAGAGGAAAAGTGCATGCGATTATTCTAGAGATAAACAATCAACTCTTTTCCCACCGTTTCTAACCAGCTTTTTTAGCACAGTGAGCAAAAGCAGCTCCAACTACTCTCTAATGTGTCATCCCAGGGATAATTCACAATCACACCGAAACATTTTCCAAGCGCGACCGTGGGAACTGCGCATACATAAGCCTTGGCACTGAGCTCATCGGAACATAGACTGGGCTCTGGCAAACCCAAGGAAACATGAGAGTGGCGTGCAGAGACTAAAAGTAGCACAGACATTCACAACTCAATCTGCCGTGAAAAATCTGCATCTACTGTGTTCAGTTCTGCGTTTCCACCTGCCCGCTGGGAAGTATTTCTCAATGGGAGCTGTGAAGGCTGAAGGTGTGGCGATGCTGGAACAATGTTTGTAGCAAAACTTGTACAACTGTGACCCCCCTCAAAAAAAGCATGCACACCAAAACACTGCTTGTAAAACCTTTTTGGAAATGATCGCTTCTACTTGAATTGGTCTTGGATACGTATGATTTATTTTCAATTTGAATTTCTTTGTCATGCTGTAGTTTAAGGATTGTAGCACTAAAATGTAAACTTAGCACAAAAAGTAAAGAAAAGTGTGTTTGGTTGATTACTTCTTTATTGTAACATCTTAACAATAGATATACTATTGGAAAGCCTGTTTATTTCTCCTATGGTGCCACATTTGTTAGGAAAATCCACTTGCGGGTTGAGTATGTCGGTTCACTTCAAGAAAACCTTGACAAATCTCTGATAAGGCCAAACAGTTCAATCAGCTATTATATCATTAGATTGGATGGTAGAAGTCTTCAGAAACAATACATGTTGCAATTTAAAAATGTATTCATTTAACAAAAGGGGGCCTTAGTTGCATGTGGAAGAACCATACGCAGCCACAACAACCTGGCATCTCCTCATGCTGTTGACCAGCTTGGTCACAACACTGTTGTGGAATGGCATCCCATATTCCAGCCAGCAATGAAAGTAAGCCAAGTAAGTTGTTGGATTCTCTGGACTGAACAGCATGCTGAGGCTGACCCTACAAATACTCATATCACTCTGAGGTGGTCAGCATTGTCATTTTAGAGGACATCGAGGTCCGAGATGGGGTAGAGGTAGGGCAGCCGACCTGGGACCAGAAAGTTGCGGTTTGACTCCCAGTCATTCCCACATTTTGCAGTGTCTCTGAGCAAGACACCTAATCACTAATTGCTCCCCGGGCGCCTATAGCTATACCCACTGCTCCACCTGGGTGAATCCCAGTTGCGATGGGTTAAATGCAGAGAAACAATTTTGTCATTGTATTGGAACATACAACGATGACAACATATAGCTACGCTTTTGGACTTCAGTCCTAGACTGTGGAGACAACCAGATGCCAACAAGATGTAGGGTTTCTGTGGTCTTGTCATACATGTTGTGTTTTTCCTCATGTTTGCCTGTCACCCCTCAGCATTTCTCCTCCTGTGTTCCAGCACTGTCGCACCTGTGTTGGATCCTAATCACCGCAGGTGCCTTTCATTTCACCTTGTTAGTGTCTGTATATATCCAGCCCCTTGGTGTCTTGTCAGTGTCTCTTGATTGCCCTTGTCCCGTCCAAGGCTTCATGTTTTCGTCCTCCCTCCGTGTCTCCCCTCTAAAGTAAGTCTGCTTCCCCGACAGCCTGTTTTGTTCATATTAAACATTTTACTTATTTTACTGGAGTCTCCTCGTCTTCCTGCTCGTGGGTTCCACACACAGAAGCCATCATGATACAAGGCACCTGACTGTCAGAACTTGGGGTACCAGAAGTTCAAAGCAAGCGTCAATGCCAGAGAAGATTTGGGACATATTGTATGGCTGCAACCCATACTCTGCATGCTTAACAGTTCCTTTACAACTGTGGCATGCTTTATGTAGAACCATTTAAGATGAATTGGAATAAACTAGAACGTGCAAAACAAAAGGTCCTTACTTGTGCTACGTTTATATATCAGCTCAAAAGTGACTACATGTCTCAAGGTGGTGGTTTGCTCAGGCTCGGTGAGGAATGTGCCAAACATTAATTGCCGACACAGCCCATCAAGAACGCGCCGGAGCAGTAAGTAATGTGAGCACCACGTCAAAGAGGAAAGAAAAGGATTAAGGAGACGTCGCTTCCTCAGCCCCTGACTGTGGGGGACAACTCTCCGTCCTCTCAACAAGTCGTGCGCTGGCAGTCCAGTCCGGGACTGAATGTACTTTCTGCTGATGGGCGGTAAAAGTGACCAGAAACACACATTGTTCTCGCGCGTCGCTGAAAAGAAGGTGCGCGGGGGAGCCCGTCGGCTTTTTTTAAAGAAACAACTACAACAAAAAAAACTTTCTGCGGCTCTGAGCGTCAACTGGCACACGCGCGCGCGCACGGAACAACAGAGGCCATCAGCATTTTAACGCGGAACGTCTCTTTCTATCCATGTTTCTCTGTTTCCATCACTTGCGCAACCCATCTTTTTTTTTTTTTTTTGCGTGTTTGGTTTTTGGTGGTGGAGGGGTGGAAGTGTGTGTGTGTGTGTGTGTGTGTGTGTGTGTGTGTGTGTGTGTGTGTGTGTG